GGAGTTGCCCGTTGTTTGAATGAGGTTGATTTTACAGTTGCTGGCTTAAGATTCCATAGCCACCTCAGCCCCACTATGGATGGGGCTGGGGTGGCACTCTTAGAGTTAAAAAAAAATTAGTGGGTGAAGTGTCTTCAACTACCACTTGTGTATAATATGCCGACATAAAGTGAAGCACAAAATTTAGGCCTAAATAACTGGTAATTGTCGTTCGTGCAATTCAAGCAGACTTTTATACATGAAACTGCAATTTGCATTGTAAATTATTGGAAAAGTATGAGATTTCATAAAAATAGTTGAGATTTGGCCTGAAAGCATATTGAGTCTCACGCCAGGTAAGTCTTTTTCATTGAGTTATGTATCTAAGGAACACACGTGGATTACATAAAAAAATATTTTTATTATAGAACCCTCGTTGAAATAGGCTAGTAAATAATTTTAACTGGGTTCGTAAATAATATTGGCCTCAAAATATTGTGGCTGAGACATGAGCCGATTAAACGTAGAAATAGGAAACCTAGAAATAAAGTAAAAACGCTGAATCGTACTCCAGCGTCGCGACATGCGGATGTTAGTACGAGTAGGTTAGTCTACAAACGTCGCCTATAGTAATTGATTTTACCCGGCAGAACGAAAGAAGGAAACTCCGCTTTTCAGTTGTCTTAGGCGCAGGTTTTTTGACAAACAATGACCTTTCAGAGGTCAAATTGCTGTCAAGAATATGAATTGGCTGCTTCGCAGCAACCAGAATGTGTTAATCAGCCTTAAGTTATGCATGTGAACAAACAAAAATATGGCCGATTGATCAGTTTGGCAACAACATTTGCGTTAATATAATTTAGATTAAATTTCAGAAAATAAAAATTATAATATATATCCACATTGAAGTAAAAAAATAATTGTATTTTGAAATAAATTAATTTGGATCCAAATATACAAAATAATTGTAGCCTAACAGAATTCAAAAACTGGATGAAAACATTTTTGGACGAAAAACCCATACTGCCACAATCCGGAGCAGCCTTGATTTCGCAGCGTGTATCGCGGTAACTATGCAGCAATTTTGTTTTACTGTATTTACCAGTTTTCTATTCGACAGGTCGTCTACGTAGGATTCATACGATTTTACCACTGCGCAGGTTGGCGTGGTTTAACGAAGAACGACCTGTCGAATACGACCAATGTGATTCAGAGAATGTCCGGACTTAATGCTGGCTACGTCAATGACGTCATCGCATATTAATTCAACTTCCGCCTTGGCATGTTATTTGCTATTGATTGTGCAATGATCCCTTCGATCAAACAAAACAATCGAGACAAGGGAAAGACTTAATATTGATGGAAACCTACTTAGATGAGAGTGTTCAGTAAAATGGCGACAGCATTGTTGACGGAAAACTATTTATTACAGCGAGATACGCAGTGGCCATGTAAAGGGAGCCATATACTCGCTCAATACGATGACAACTCAGTTGTTGTGTATCAAGCATACAACCCGGAAATCGCCAGTTATGCAGTAGAGAATCAAAGGTAAGGGGCCTATATTATTGTGTTTGTTTTTAAAATTATAGGCCTTATTCTTGTACGGATTGCGTAGGAGTTACGGTGTCCTTCTGCTAAATAAACTTATGTTATAATGTAATCTTTAATCCGCCGCGCCTACAGTGAACAACCGATTTCACTCCTATATCGAGTCAGATCGGTTCTCTGGTGTAAAGATTAATTGTTATTAATATGCATTGCGTATGCTAACTTTGATTTCAGATTTGGCGGTCCAAAGTTCAGCTTTCAGCGCATGTCCTGGGTCAAAACGAATTTTCTGTGGATGATGTACCGATGTGGTTGGGCCAGCAAGGCCAATCAGCAACGAGTTCTTGCTGTCTGGCTCAAGAGATCAGCTTTCGACAATATCTTATCGCAAGCATATACACCAAAGGTAAGTTTTATAAACATAATTGGAATAATGGGGAGGATCCCACAAGACAATGGAGTGTTCCCGACTGTCAATCACACTTAACAACTGACCAATCAGTACGCGTTATTTAATAGGTGGAACAGTCCCCTGCGCATGTCAGGCACATACGTTTACAACGTACACGTTACGTACGTTTGTTTTATGGTGGACCTTGGCAATAATACCGGAACGGTCAGTTTATACGTGCGCGTCCTGCAAGTATATAGAATGTGATTTTAAAGGGCTTGTTTGATCTTAGTTAAATACTCTTTCCCAAGTAGGCCTACTACCTGTGGCATAAGTATGCATGAAATGCGATACAGTACTAAATTTGAAAAATGAATGACAAAGTTGGTAACACAAATATTAATTACACAAAAACTGAATCTTTTCAGGAGCAGAAAAAAGCAGAACTGGAAGAAATATTTGTCCGTCTGCAATGGGATCCTGATCATAACCCACATGGAGAAAAGGAAGAACGGAGGGCAATACAACTGGGTTTAAGAGGGGAGGTACGTAAGAGAAATTTTCATCATTTCCAAAGTTTAAATGCAGTTTATCCCTTTCCCCCGAGATTTTAAATATACCAGACCAAAATAAACATTGGGTTAATAATAGAGGAAATATTTCCTATATATTATCCTTAATCTACTGATTATTAGTATAAATCTAACAGCACATTTACCAAATTAGTATTTGGCTTTTCAACTTTACTTTTAATAGGTCCTTCAAAAATACGCCACCGAATGGATTCACAAGATAGAAGACGTTACAGCTTTTGTTCATGAGCAAAAAAGAATATTGGACTCAGAAAAAATAGAAAATTTAATAACTGCTAAGGAGACCGTATATCCGGTGACGAATCCTAAAACAGCTCAGCTGATTGGGGTAGATATTTGATTTAAAATGCGCTCAGAAAGCACAACACGCATTACATTTAAAGGCACAGTCACACATGGTAGTGACATCATACTTTTGGTCAGCTGGTTTCAATCACACTTGAGCCCTTTATAATGAAGTTATTAGAGCAGAGAATGAAATCCGGTAAAACTACAGTACCACTGCCATCACCACAGTTTCAGAGTAGAATTCCCATTGCTACTCTCCTTGTATTTCAGATGGAGGGCTGAAATACAGTACGGCACAAGTTACGATAGCGCACAATTTTTTCAGATGAGACATTTATGCCGTTGATCCCATAGAGTATTACAATGTTACGTCACGATACCATGTGATACTACTCCGTTGCAAGATGGGTTCAACCGGATGCCATTTTCGCCACTGACAAACCATTGATCCCAATTTATACTGTATTATTAAGATTTTGATCTTACTTTTTCTTTGTAAATTTTAATTGATGATTAAATGTGTGTTCGATAACTAATATAATGCGAGCTTTTGTGTTTTTAGTACATTTTGATGGTTTTAGATTTCAGAATGCCTATGAAGTCATTCAGGCGTAATGAACGGTGACCAACGTCTGTTGACAACAGAGAGCACCACCTGGCGTTGTGACGACACGACTGTTACTCTTTGCGCATGTTAAAGGATGCAGTACACTCTTTGGGAAAAGTAGGGGATTGTGTCCCGGTGTACTGTCCAATTCACCACCAGGACGACCCAACTGGAAAAAGGTCTTCTGACTTAGTGGGTTATTCTTGGTGTGATTTACACCAAATATACTCCTATCCAACAGATCCAAATAATAGATAATCGCAAAAAAATGGATGTAATTTTGAAACACTTCAAAATATGGTTCAATGATTTTTTTCTTTATTAAGATAATGCCAGCATACAGTATTCAATATAACCTTAAATGGTAATAATTCTTGTAATTCTATATTATGATTTAATGAGAACAATAAGAAATAATAATATACTCATAATGCACCATCTATCCGGATAAACCTATTGATAGTGCAACATAATAATCATATATTTATTTTTAGTTCTTTCACTTTGCTTTGAAATTGACAATGCAATAGGGTAATTTGCACTATATATGGTTAATACAGTATTTTTATTATAAGAAATAACAGGATATTTAACATTATTTATATTCTGTAAAAACTTGAACTGCATTTAATAAACATAAAGTGTTTTATATATAATAATGGATAAAAATATTTCAGTCTTTTGGAATATACTGCACTGAAATTCAGTATTTGGTCGCACTATCGCAGTTTCTTTCCCAAAATGTCATCACACTGTCAGCAATCAATTGTTTTGATTGTCATGGATCACGATCACCATTGAACATGAATGACTTTCAGGTCCAGAAAACAACTTAAAACACATCAAAAGTTCATAATTGTCTTCAATTGGAATAGAGTCCTTAATGATTGCAGAGGGAGGTCATTTTTGCTGCATCTTCTTCAACATTGCATCATCTTGCACTGACTTCTCTGTGAGTGTTTTGCCGAGGGTTTCGTGGATTTCAAGGTACTTCGCTACGCAGCGATCCAGACACACAGCTTCTCCTTTGGTTAAATCTCCTTCATGGTACGTTGAGGGAACACACTTGCTTTGACAGGTACTCGTCATTCTGGAACAGAACCCATTTTTGTATTATTATACTTCAATAATTTTTAGCTTTGTAATACAAGAATAATATATTTTATTATTATTAAATCAATTACGTTTGATTATGTGAACAATTTCCACTAAACTTATTACCATCACAGAAATGAATACACATTGAGTACCAAGTTGTCAACAAGCTTTGATTTGATACTTCTTATTTATAGTATCCACAGGACCAGTGGAAAAAATCTTTTACAATCAAAAAACTTCATTTCATTTATTTCATCTCGTACTGCAAAGCAATTAACAACAAACAATAACAACCGAGACAGGATTCCCAACAGCGAACTTATCAAACTATAAAAAGGGTCTCAACATAAAATACAAAACAGAAAGCATACAAAAGTGCACTGTGGCCCAAGATCATAAAAGGGCTGTAAACTCGCACTGTGCTGTATTGAGAAACAAGCCTCAATAGCCAGAACAGGCCGTAGAACGTAAATTTTGATGTGAATTGGGTTTTTATGTCATAAATAAAGTATAACTATTAATCTTACTATTCCTGAAGTTTGAGTTAAAAATTTAATTTGGCCTGAGGAGGAGTTTACAGCCCTTTTATGATCTTGGGTAACAATTGTGAAAATAATAATAAAAATAATTACAATAATAAAAATAATAATAATAATAGTAATAATAAATATAATAATAGTAATTAATAATATAAACAATATTAATAATTATTATGATAAAGCCAAATTGAAAAAATTCTTGTGTTGGCCATGCCTGACCAACCCAAAATGTACGAAATTGAGGTTCGGCATCTGATTTTTAATTTTTTTAACACTCTGCCAGCCAAATACGGAGATCTCTGTGTTTCAGGTTTATTAACGGAATCCGATAGATGGGGTAATTGCCGACATGTACAATCAATTTGAACACAATATTCAGTCTGGACCATAAGTATTTCACTATTTGTTTGTTTACATTGAGCGTAGCGGCAATCATGTACTTTCACAAAATCGCTATTATGTTAGCTTCATTGTGTGAATTTGCGTAAATCTCCAAAAGTGAGTTATTTTCATTTTACTGTTACGAGTCACAGGCTGTGATTATGATAAAGTGTTTGGTACCATTGTAAAGCTAAGATGTTTGCAGTTCTTGTAGTATCACGTCAACCTGATCACATACGCATTCTCAACGAGCTTCGGAAATGTGTTAAAATGCGCTTAAAAGTCTGGCAGTGGCTGATACTATTTTTCAAACCCCTGGCAGTCAGTGTTAATGAGCTAAAAAGGCTGGAATAGGCCTATCTTGCCGGATGGTAGGCAATGCGACAGTGTTATGCGATCGTTTCTCTTCAATATACCTGTAGATTTTAAAATGGTCTTGGTAATTTTTGTGTATTTTCTACTTTTTAGGCATAAACACATTATTGGTTTAAAAAAAAACAAAAACTTTTGCTACTGCTGACCTACCTATTTTTTGGATTTTCCCAAAACGTGACCAACATGATTTTTTTTTGTTGGCCTAATGATAATAACAACATTAAATGGATATCAAAAAACACAGTAAATCATACAGCACAGGAGAGTAGCTCATAGAAACAGAGAACATTGAATTGGCTGACTAGAAATTTTGAAACTGACCTAGGCCTAGTAGTATATGAGGCATACCCGAGGCCCTATGATGAGTGTGGCCAGCTTCATTGCATGATCCAGAGAAAGAGAGCTTTGTTGGTGGTAGGCCTAGCCTAGAGCCTAGGCTAGCCCTACCTAAATAATTAATAATCAGGCCTAGCCTTTAATTAAATCATACCTGTTATACATGTCAGCCATCATTTCAATTTCAAGCTCTGCTAGAAGTTGCATTTGCTGTTGCTGGGATAAGGTAGACATTTTTTCTGTATTTTTTACTTTTTTAAAAATATTTTACACATGGCACGGATATCGTATCTAATATACAGCAAGTAAATCTAAATACATGTTATAGTATAGTAATCGGTGAAACAATCGCGCCAGACCGCATAATATTGTGTCTGTTGTATTTGCTAAGCTTGTACACCCCCGTCACCTTTCTCCCATGCCTTTATTCTCGTAATAATACACTTTTGCATCAGTGGCACACATCAGACAGTACCTGATGGATCCATACGAAAAAAATGTAAAGAAATTAAATCAAATTCAAAACAAAAGGAACAACATAAACAAGTAATTACGTCACTACGTTGGGTAAGGTCGGCGCTGAAACAGCGTTTTTAGTTGAAACGGGATCTGGGGCCAGATTTATCAAACTAGAAATCAGCTTAAATTTGTCTTAGTTTTGCTTAAGTCAAATTTCCATATTGCTTTGCTTAAAAATTACTTAAAATTAGAAAGTCGATTGTACATTGTGTCATCTAAGACGATTTTTTAAGCCAAGATTTTGTTAAAATTGGGTAATAAATCAGCTTAAGATATTTATTTAATGGACAGTCTTAACTTTTTTGACAAGACATTTGCTAAGCTGAGATTATCCTGGGCCTGACCCTTATCATTTCTATACCTTTGCTGGTGAAAAGATAACGCACCAGAAAAAAAAATACCCTGTAAATTTATTTTAAAAGAAAATCATAAGTTATCAACTTTCAATCACCGGATGGGGAGGGAGTGGGTGTGGTGTGGCAGAATAAGTTCCCAGTGTGTTTAATCGTCCTGACTGCTAAAGTACGATGCATTTCAGTGGCCAAATTTCCAAATATCCGTAGAAGGCTAAATCAAGTTTACGGAGCACCTAATAAGGCCAACTTTGTCTTGAGTGCAAATGGGGTTACTTAAATTTACAGGAGGGTGATAACAGCTGTAGAATTTCAAGAAATGGCATGAAGAGGTTGAATTTATGCCTATATTAAAGGCCACTTTTTCTGTTTTCACAATAATTTATCAGTAATCTGACATGAGTAGGTACAAAAGCCTATAACCACGTACCCTGATGGAAAATTAATTTGTTCGACTTTACCTATTTATTTATGGGTCTAGCCCTATGACAAATTTCCGTATTTTCTATTTCCGTACGTCAGTGATTAGGCAAAATTTGTAGCAACTACGTATAGTTCCGTAGTATCATCTTATGTTGCTGCCAAAAATATTACGATTTTTATTTCTTTAATTTTATTTATTTATTTACATTATATTTTATTTGCATTAAATATTATTGATAAAAGGTTTTTTCTTTTTTTAATTCTATTGATTCTCTGTTTTTAGGAGTATTAAAAAATTAAAATAATGACATTTCTTCCACTCATTTTCAAGTATATGAATATACATTTTCAAGTATATGATTATAGTAATAATAATAATAATAATAATAATAATAATAATAATAATAATAATAATAATAATAAACATAAAAATAACGCTAAAAAGAAAAGATCGACGTTTCGACTCCTTCATGGTGTCATTTTCAAGATCAAATGATGAAGTAAAAAATATACAGCAAAAGCTAATCTACAGTGTCAAAGTTCATAACAGTGGGATATTAATCCCCGTGTTAGATAAAAAGCTTTGCTTTGACAGAGTCACATTGTTTATTCAGACTGGGTTTTAATTGTCTAATAAATAGCATTTCATGAATGAGACAGTCAAATTTATTCCTACATTTCTTTAAAATGCTGAAACATGACTCAATACTGCTTGGGCTGATATGATGGTCCTTAGCATGTTGTCCTATCAGAATACGTTGTTGGTAGAGGTGTACCGGTTTGTGTATCCGACATAACTTGCATCACAGAAGTCACATTTAAATCTGTACACAACACTGATTTATGATTGTAGGTTTTCTTTCTGTTTTCTGAATTTCGTCACTTATTTTTCTGCTTGTGAAAACAGGAAAAATGTTTTGGTCTATTTTGTTGCTTAGTTGGCGTAGTTGACGCTTAACTGAGTTGGCAGATTTCTGGTCTTTGAATGGTAGATAATAATAATATAGTAATGTCATCTTATTAGGCGCACGTATCCATGTCTTGGTAGAGCTGCTCGCGGCGCCGTTTTCCACCTGCAGAGTGTACATGTAGCCTCTTTTTCTGCATTATTATTTGAATCATGGAGTTATAATTATTTTGATTTATTAATTTTTTTATATTTTTAATAATTTAATTAAAATTTTTTATTTATTTTTATGTATATTTATTTATGACAGACCTGACATAGATGGGAAAGATACTGTAGGCAAAATAAGATGCAAATTAGGGGACAATTTCATTTCGGTTAGAGTTACCTGGCCCACAAATACGAATAGGCTGGGCTCTCTTAAGGAGACATCCCTCCATTTTATTTATAGGCCATATGATAAATTTCCGTATTTTTTTTTTCAATTTCCGTACGTCCGTGATTAGGCAAAATTTCTGTATCAACTACGGAAGTTTCGTAGTACTTGAGAAGTCTGGTTTAATTCGCATAGGCCTAAGTTGCTGCCAAAAATAGTATGATTTGTATTTCCTTAATTTTATTTATTTCTTTACATATATTTTATTTGCATTGAATATTATTGATAAAACGTTTTTTTAAATTCTATTAATTATATACTCTGTTTTTATGAGTATTACAAAATTAAAATAATGACATTTATTTCACTTATTTTCAATAACTGCATGCAAAACCCCCTATAATATATAGGGGACAATTTAATTTCGGTTAGAGTTACCTGCCCAAAAATAGGGCTCCCCTGTTGAGGGGACCCCCTAATAATAAAACTTTTTGGTCCCAATGGTATCCCTTTAATAAGTGCTTTATTGTACTAAATTGTGAATACTGTTCAATATATCACGGTACCATAACCTAATATTTAAAATCACAATATTTATAAAAAAAAATTATTTACTTTGACCTACTCTATTAATGGACTTTCCCAGATTGTCCATAATAAACACCACAAATCAAAACAGGGCTAGGATTACCGCGCTTGTCCCACAAATAAAAAGAAAATACTAGAAAGAAAACGAAAGACTGAAAAAGGCATATAAAAGAAAACGAAAGATTGAGAAGGAATAAGAAAGGAATTGAAAGATTGAAAAGGCATATGAAAGAAAACGAAAGATTGAAAAGGCATATGAAAGAAAACAAAAGATTGAAAAAGTATATAAAAGAAAAATTAAAGATTGAAAAGGCATACGAAATAAAAACGAAAGTTGACAAGGAATAAGAAAGAAAACAAAAGATTGAAAAGGCATATGAAAGAAAACGACAGATTGAAAAGGCATATGAAAGAAAATGAAAGATTGAAAAAGCATATGAGAGACAACGAACGATTGAGATGGCATATGAAAGAAAACGAAAGATTGAGAAGGAATAAGAAAGAAAAAGAATCTGAATAAAAGGGAAGGAAAGTAAAGAATAGAAAAGAAAGGACAAGGTATAGGAATGAAAGAAAAAAAGTAGAGAATAGATAGAATGAAGGAAAGCGATAAAAAAGGGGAAAAGGTAAAGATAATTAGAATTAAAAATGTTGTCAGTGAATTTATTTATAATTGCAATTATAACAAATATATAATATTTTTGACTAGGTAATTTGTTAAATTTAGCCCCACTGTTTTGCTATTCCCAACAAATCAATATATTAAATTAGTATATACAATTTTTCTTTTCGTCAAGAGTCACTGCACCTAGGAATAGCATGATCAGGGGCGGCGCCAGGATTTGCCCGATGTGGGGAGGTCCCCGAAAGGGGGGTGGGCGATGCCCCGACGAGGGGTCAGATTTACCCGACGAAAGCAAAGTGGGCCCGTGGTCGAGCTTCGATTAAAAGGTTTCGAAAGTGGCCCTGGGGTCGAAGCCCCCAAAAATTTTGACAATTTAGGGGTTTCAAAGGCTTATTTAATCGATTTTAGAGTATACTAATACGTAGAAAATACATATAATTTTTTTCTCCCAGACGAATTGTACTTTTTCTCCCCGACGGGGGGCCCTGGCCCCTCCAGCCCTCCGCTGGCGCCACCCCTGAGCACGATAGATAGATGGTGAGTTTATAAATGCTGTTTCATTATCATTATTATTAAATGCATGTATTTATGTACATTTACTCTGTCACTTTCTGGGACCTTACCACCAATATCCAAGGGGCAGACTTTAGTAGGACAGTCCATTCAACAAATAATAATAAACCACAAGGATACCGTGCATCATAACTTATTAATATTATTATTCAGCATTGAGTTTTCACAGCCAATTGCTTATTCTCTTATCAAAACAAGACAATAATTAACAGTAGCCTATTTTTTATATATTGAAATGTAACCCTCCTTGAGAACAGGTCCAATTCTGTTAAAAATATTATTTTTTGCGGGTGGAAATAACTTCATTCAATATTTTAATAGTATCTGCATTCTACCATAGCTATTTGACATGTTCAATCACTATGTTCTTTAGGCCTACAGGAATGAACTGAACTACCGTCCTGAATGCTCGCTCTTAAATCACTGGATAGAATTCGATCCAACTCGGCCACAGTCAACTCGGCTGTAGCCAACCTTTTTGTGGCCGAGTTGATTGTAGCCGAGTTGACTTGTGGCCGAGTTGACTGTGGCCGAGTTGACTTGTGGCCGAGTTGACCTGCACCCGCCTAACCCACTGGATAGACTTGCCACCTTTATTATTCTGGACAGCGCCACCAACAAGTAAGTTAACAAATCGAGTATGGGGCGCCAATAAAATTGGTATGGTGCACACTAAGCGCAATGAAAAGTGAGTAACCCAGGATAATTACTGAAGAAAAAACAAAGCAGCAAAGATGGCAAAATACTGAATGATACAATTTAATCAATTTTTCGGCTAATAAAGGTGGTATTTTACTTTGCATGATATTTCTTATCTCAAATTAAATTATAGTTCCAACGACTATCATATAGTATGATTAGGTATTTATATTTACAGTCAGTTTGTTATATACAGTATTACTCTATAGTACATCACTACATATTCCCTTGCCAGGTATAATATAAAGAGATCCTTGTCATTTGATTGGTGGATTTAATCCTGTGACAATAATCTACTTTTTGGATTTCCAACATTCTTCATGTAAATTTGGTTCAATTTCCATATATTGTTGTTAAACTTATTTTGTCCTATTAAACACCTTAACCAGGAAACAGGTTTCACTGTTCCCTGCCTCAACCTACTTGTTATAAAAAATGTTTTCATTTGTTGAAAGATGGACCAAACTTTATTTTTCATAACATATCAAAAGACAAAAGGTAGTCTGTCACTTATAATGAATGTTTTCCAGCACAATGGATAAACTAATTCCATTCATTAAAAGATGTACTGTTCCATTCAACTTGGCTCTCCTACATTGAAAACAACAGTCCATTTTCAACAAATGAAAATGTTCTTCTCACTTTCCCATTAACATTCATTTTTTGTGCAGCATCACAATCTGCATGCACAGCTCATTAAGTGTTGATAGGATACTGTCACTGTATATTTTTATAGTAATAATCAATTAGTTATTTACAGTACTTTATTTGAAGTATAAACTTTGAAAGGATAATACTGCTGATCAAACTGACTCTATGCCAGTGTCATTCTCTTTTAAATAAAAATATTTATTAATGCCATTCCTGATGCACAAGTCCATTGTATCCAGCCTTGATCAACCAAGATATCATTTTCAATACCACTGTATAGAAATAGAAGACAAGAAAACATTATTACAGTAATACAAAAAAACAACAATACAAAAGTAACAATCTAAAGAATTATGCTTTTAACCTAATCAGAAAAGGGGAGGAATACCTACAAACACACATGTTGTCTCACAAACACACATGTTGTCACACAAACACACCTTTGTCTCACAAACACACATGTTGTCCCACAAACACATATGTTGTCTCACAAACACACATGTTGTCACACAAACACACCTGTTGTCTCACAAACACACATGTTGTCCCACAAACACACATGTTGTCTCACAAACCCACATGTTGTCCCACAAACACACATGTTGTCTCACATACACACATGTTGTCTCACATACACACATGTTGTCTCACAAACACACATGTTGTCCCACAAACACACATGTTGTCTCACAAACCCACATGTTGTCCCACAAACACACCTGTTGTACACATCTAGATGTGCATGTTGTCTCACAAACACACCTGTTGTCTCACAAACACACATGTTGTTCCACAAACACACATGTTGTCCCACAAACACACATGTTGTCTCACAAACACACCTGTTGTCTCACAAACACACATGTTGTTCCACAAACACACCTGTTGTCTCACAAACACACATGTTGTCTCACAAACACACATGTTGTCTCACAAACACACCTGTTGTCTCACAAACACACATGTTGTCCCACAAACACAAATGTTGTCTCACATACACACATGTTGTCCCACAAACACACATGTTGTCTCACATACACACATGTTGTCTCACAAACACACATGTTGTCTCACAAACACACCTGTTGTCTCACAAACACACATGTTGTTCCACAAACACACATGTTGTCCCACAAACACACATGTTGTCTCACAAACACACCTGTTGTCTCACAAACACACATGTTGTCTCACAAACACACATATTGTTCCACAAACACACATGTTGTCTCACAAACCCACATGTTGTCCAACAAACACACCTGTTGTCTCACAAACACACATGTTGTCCCACAAACATAATCATGTTTATGTTGTCATTTTCTAGGACCAGCAACAATGTCCAAGGGTCGGGAAAGTTAGCGGAATAGTACATACTGAGAAAACAATCAGCACTTTTACCTCGCCTCCATCCACCCATGAAACTTCGGCATCACTGGCATCATAATCCACATCCTCTCCACTTTCATCCATCCCTTCCATCTCATCATCCACTCCTGGATCCAAGTTGTCCCTGCTCTTCTCGACCCGTTCAAGACCATCTCTTGCTTTCTTGTTTTTGTTGTCCAGACTATATTATTTTTAAAACATAAGAAAACACCAAAATATGTTAGTGTTTAGAATAACTACATATAATTTATGGTATGGTGATCAAAAGATCAGTGTAGAAATGCCCAGCCCATTTAAAAATCCCTATCGAATCATAATAATTTATTGTACTAAGGTATTCCTGAACAAGCTATCATTTTATTTCAAATATTTGTATAAATACAAATTATTCAGAATATATTTCACACATATGTTACAGCCAGGCTCCAGAGAAAAATAATTTTTTAATATGTTGTTTTTCTAAGACAAAAAAAAAACATATTTGACGAAAAACTTGGGAGCGGTTGAGATACAGATTTTTGAATAATAATCTTTTCACCCAGATTTTAAATATTCAAAAATGTGTATTTCCTCCGGAGTCTGGCTTTATGTTCTATAGGGCTTCAATATGTATATAGTAGAGGCCACTTGCATCTATTCTCTTACACAGCACAGGCTTGCTTTATAAATAACGTTAATTGTGAGGCTTAAAGAGAGAGCGGCGTTTCCAAGATTGGAACCCAGAACCACAAGATTTTAAGGCAAGTATTTCCGCAACAATGAAATGAATATAGAGAAAGAAATAAAATGAATAATAATTTGACTATTTACCTAAGTGCTATATTATACTGATCAATGGCATCAATGTGTTCATTTGTTGCAGCTAAGCAGTCTCCCAACATCTGATGCAGTCGACAAGTACTGGAGTGGAACAGGTGCTTCCTTAACCTGTATAAGGTACCATAAACTTCAGTATCAGTACAACATAATAAGGGTTTATTAGTCAAAATAATTGGGGCCTACGTCTGGCCGGTTGTTTGTGCCCTTAGGATAATAGGCACTTTATCCGCAATCTCTCTTCACTCAGTTAGTTTTATGCCAATGCACAGAATACAACTCTCGTTAATAATCAAACACCACAAGAAAAGCACATGGCTTTGTTTCACTTAGTAAGACTTTCACTATACTAGCTCACGGTGAAAAGGAATTTGAGGCTTGGTAGATAACGTTGATGCGTTATATACACCTGGGTTAGACGATTCAATTATTTTTTGCGGGTAAGTTCCATTAGCAATCTGCCTTGCAACGGTTCATCCATGTAAGTATACACAAAATAGACACAAGCTGCAACATTATGAAGTATTCCCCTCCCCGGAAGCAGAATATTGGATCTATACACATTTGATGACCTTGGTATTAATAATGTCATCTGCTTTGTGGTAATTATCATATATGATACTGAATATACTTACAGTGCCATGGCGGCATCAAAATTTCTTTCTTCCATGTAAAGTTCAGTCAAGATGTAAGTAGCTTCAAGATACGTGGAGTCCAAAGCCAAAGCCCGCTCCAGCATTGTTTTTGCCTAAAAAGCAAATTATTTAGCACAGCATGTAAAAACAATAATGCAAAAATGTGTTAGGTCACATTTATAATTAATCACAATATTCAAGGACCGGGATGTAGATAATGGTGGACAGGGCCACCCAGCCTTGTAGTTTTCCACCCACCTTTATTAACCCTCTTGCACATCCTTAAAATCCACTCACATTATTTAGAGTTTACCAATGTTATCACCCACCCACCCTTACTTTTCTACAGCTACAATTATGCAAGAACAGTACACTTGCAAATTACAGGACGGAAGGATGCTTTGTAAAGTAAGTCTCTATATAAGGCTTATGAAGAGGTGCTATTTATAGCTGTGAGAAAAAAATCTAGCATCTTAAATGTCTGAACCCAGGATCTTAGCATCAAAGAACAGCTACACTCCAAGCTACATATCCACTCATACACTTGTATAGCATGTGGCTGGCACAACAATATCTGGACCATATGGTAGACCAATAGTTTGTACTAAAAATGTATCCAGTCAAAAATGTAAGAATGAATGAATGAATAAGTAAGATGTAATTATAACAAAAACAATACTACAATCAATCAATATACCAAACCTGATCATGGTTTAATTTTGAAACCCTGTCTTTGGCCAAAACAGCAGCAACAAGAGTCATGCATCTGGCAGTGTTGCCCAGTACTTTACGGGTGTTTGTTGCCGTGGTAATAGCCTCTCGAATACGCCCTGCCTTCATTAAGCATTCCACAGTACCTAATTACCAGAAGGAAACAACATGCAATTTTTTTTTTTTAATTTTTATTTTGTTTATATATCTTGGTATGTCAGGCCTGATGTTCCCATAAATATTGATGAGAGGTTGCCACAATATTTAATTACTTTATAAGCCATGAAATACTAGGGCTGAAACATAGCAGAAAGCCACTTCACAACTCGTCAACAGTACAAGCTGGGGTAACTTATACATGGCCGGTCAAGAATTGCCAGTGTGTGGTTCGAGCCCTCTATCTCTATCTATCTATGTGGCCCTCAGACTAGTCAACCAACGTTGTCTGCAGTCATCTCGGTTCACCATACAATTGGCAAGTTCCACAGTGGTTCGAGCCCTCGACAACGAGGTCCACAACCTGAATGGAAATTACTGCGCCAAACCACCTTCCCATATTTCTTATTGCTTTTCAAAAAACTATATTCAAATCATATTATTTAAGGAGTTGATCCATCCATCCAGCATTGTGGATCATTAGGGGCATTTGAACTACTATCAAATGACGCTAAGCTAAATATTAACAAATTGTTCTAAGTATATATTGCATAGCAAGGATATTTTGGTTGTGAGAATGTTAGGATATCTTGGTAAATAAACAGACCTCAAATAGATATTTAGCAGGAAGCTTACACAGCTTACCTTTCAACATGGCACAGAGTGTATCTTCACTGCTTGCATATGGATTGTACCAACTTTTAACAAGGTTTGTATTTTGTTGTGTGAAAGGGACGAGTATTGGGAGGGAAATATCGAAACAGATACTACTGTTACTATTACATTTTCTGCTGTGTGACTCTGGCATTAGATAATTCAAATGAACAACAAAATCTTGGTGCTGTTACCTTTGTGAGCTTCAAATCTGTTGGGTGCAAGCCTAACTGCCTCCCTGTAATGAAGCAACGCGTCTTGTGTTTTTCCAATGTCCTTCAAAACACTTCCTTTTAAAAGTAATGCTTGCACGTTTCTCTGATCCAGTTGAAAGGCCTAGAACAACACAATACAAATCAAATTAATTATTATATTAAACAAAATTTTTACTAAGGCCATATTCTCAACATGTTTAAAATTTCAAGCTTGAATGTGATACCTTAACCATGTTTTATCCCTTTGGTTACCAATTTATGAGCCAAAATTGGTGGCGGATTTGAAATAGAGGGAGGCACAGTGAAGGACTTTCAGAGATGGGGGTCTATACCAACTTAGACCCACTATGGTTGGGGCTAAGGTAAGAAAATTTATGGTTATGGCACCTCTAGATGGCTGGAAATGGCACTTTCAGGCTTTACTTTGAACACAATTTTTTTTTTTTAATTTTGAAAAATTTAGGGGGGGGGGGAGCCCTGGCCAGCTGGGCCTCCCCTTGAATCTGAAATTAAAAAAGAGATGGATGGCAATGAACCTTATAATTAGCCCTTGAAGCGGGCACTCACTGCCCCTTGACGGTGATCGGCCGACACTATTCTATAAAGAACGCAACGCCACGTGTGCAAGGGATCGTTTTTAATGACGATTCGTTCAGACTGCCAACGTCGTACTATGCGGTGAGTGCCCGGCTTTAGTCTGTAGTAAAAAATCCGGGCCCGACCGATTTCACTATTTTTTGCCCACACAACCATTTTTTAATTTGCATTGAATCATCACAAGGTTCTAATTCACACAATGTACTTACTCTTTGTGCAAAGTACACAGCCCTGGTAGCTTTGTTACCCGATGCTGCGCAATAATATCCCATCGCAATCCAGGACTCTGGACTTCTCTCTGTTACAGACATCATGTCTGTGGATAGACTAAAATGATTTTTCATTTAAAATATCAACAGTGTCCACTGATATAATAATATAGTAACTTGTTCCTAAATTCACCAGAATGGTGCATGATGCAGTTAAATTTTCTAATCATATTTGTCTTCAGTTCTGGAAAATAACTGATTTGAAAAATGTCATAAGATGGAAATATTCTTACTTCTGTAGCTGCTTGATATCCTTATTGGCTGATAGTATGCTGGCGTATATATCCATTCCCTTCAAAAACAGCGGCTCCAATGAATGGATCTAGCAAAATAGAATGAATACTGAAATGCATGTATTTTATTTGTGCGGTGGCCGTTTTAGATTCATGTAATGATAAACATACACTTATACTTACTCTGGAATAAATGGCAATAGCATTTTTCATGTCACCAGACAGGAAGTAATACTCAGCTAGACTACATAGTACATTAATATTTTCTTTCAAGACACTCTGAAAAAAATTAACAACATGAAGGTTGAAATATATTAGTTTGCATACTACAAGCAAGGAGATTAAAACAACATTGAACTGCTCATCTAAGAAGATTATGTTACCAGCTTTTCAATGAGATAACATATCAACATCACATAACATAACATTTCATGGGCCTTTTTTGCCAAGTGTTTTTATTACAATTTATGCAAAGAATGACAAAGCTTAAATACACTAAACAATTCAAGTTTTGAAGTTAAAATTTTTTAAAATTAAACATTTATCTACCTTCTACCAGCAGGGATGGATCCAGGGGGCGGGGCCAAAAGGGGGAGGGCGATCGAGATAATACTACACTAGGGGGTCCGGGGAATGCCACACGAAATTTGTGTGTTCCAGACGCATGAAAATAACCTCTGATGCGTATTGGGTGAAAAATACGATCAAGGGTCAGCCCTGTACCAATAGCATATCTAACTGGGTGCACTTCCACGATCACCCCCACTGATAAATTGCTGAGTAAAATACACTGAACAATCACCTGGCCTTATCAACTGATTCCTCCCACTAGCACTTCACCCCAAAATTATCATCGCATCTTCAAAATATGAATACATCTACATATCCTACTGCTTCCTACTAACAGTTAGTAACAATGCTCATTGTAGTTTTAAACTCTTTAAACATTTCTTTCCTTTATCATATAGATATTGAAGTTTAGCTGGAGCCATGTCTTGTATTGCAAATCTATAGATAGACCATTTAGTTACATGAGGCATATGGGTATTTGTGTATTTTCATCCATCTACTTTCACCCCATGTAAAATGTGTTAATCTGGCCTTTGCATGCTTACCGCTGTTTCAAGATTCTTGAAGGTCGCTATAGCTTTAGAATATTCTTTAACAGCACCATATGCATGTCCTCTGAACCAAAAATTCAACCTACAGTAATTCAAGAAACAGAAGTATAAGCAAAAACTACATAAAGTGCAATTAAATGTCTATAAAACAACTATTCACAGGGGCAGATACAGAATTGTTCAAAAGAAGGGGCACCAATTACTTATAGGCCTAAATGTAATATAGTTATACAGATAGATATGTATCCAATAATTGTATGGTTTGTGTTTAGTATATATTTTTACATTTAGTATTTGTATGCCATTTTGTATTTTTTACTGTTAAAAAATAAAAGACAGCAGTGGGAAAAGTAGGAGATTAAGGATAGAGTACTCATCCCTAAATCCGCCCCTTCAAATGGTTGATATATGCTCACCAGTCTAGGTTTTGGTTTGAGTGAAGACTGTTAATTGTCAGTGACTCCACTTCAGCTCCCTTTACTCCCAGGCCTAGCAGTCCTTGGGCAGCTTCCAACGCAAGGGGACATTGCCTAAGACAAACATGAATACAAGAACACAGCAAATTAATGAAGGCAGAATTAAACTAAAAGTAGTTTAGACAAATCACAACACCGGTATATTACTTTCAGGCTTGTAAAATGGGTTGTGTTAAAGTCAGGCTCTGGAGGACAACAATTTTTTGATAAGTTGTAGAACTGATTTTTCTAAGACAGAAAAAAGTTGTTTGACGAAAAACTGGGGAACGGTGAATGAGATACAGATTTTTTAATATTTAAAAACTGGGGAAAAATGGGGTGTAACTGCCCATTTTTACACCTTATTCCCCCAGTTTTTAAAAATTAAAAAATCTGTATCTCATTCACCGTTCCCTAGTTTTTCGTCAAACAACTTTTTTCTGTCTTAGAAAAATCAGTTCTACAACTTATCAAAAAATTTTTTTTCTCCGGAGCCTGACTTTAAGGTGGGCAGTCATTGCGCCAGACATTCGTCGGCCGACGTGATGCTATGAGGAACCTAACGGCACAACGTGCATGCAATGGATCGTATTTAATGAGTATCCTTTTAGACTGCCACTGACAATCAGCAGACGGCTTTGCGTCGTCTCACTGGGAACAGAGTTGGATTCGTCGGCCAACAGTTGTACAGTGTAGTGAGCTCCCGGCTTAACTTTATTAGTAAAAAAAAACCTGTTTATATATCTTTCCTTCTGCATTTAAATTACATCGGATTAGATTTGATGAGAGCGTCGTTGTACAGTAGTTGCCACATGTTTTAAGGGCCGCTCGTAAGTGGCAATTAGGTTTTGGTATGATGACATTCATGTTGACCTCAAAGCCTTATTTTTTTATATGTTGTACAACTGATTTTCTAAGACACAAAAAGAGGGTTTGACAAATTCTCAGGAAAGGTTAACAGGGGCGGATCCAGGATTTAAAAGCAGAGGGAGGTGGGGGGTTCAAAATGTTTCCAAAAACCCCAAAATGAAAGGGGGGTTCCGGCCATCTAGGAATTTTGATTCCTAGATGGCTGGAAATGAGCTTTCCCGACTTCTGAGGAGTCTTTTAATGACCTTTAAGTTCTTCAAAATTCAAGATTTACCCCGTCTTGAAAAAAAGTCAGGCAATTTTATCTCATTCTTTAGGCCTATCATAAAGGGAAAAAAAATCAAAGATAGACAATATATTATTATATTCCAACAACATTGAGTAGATGTATTCTTTCTTCCATGGATCGATGAACTGATAGGCCTGAAGAACTCACTTTTGTACATAAATTATTACGACAGCAAACCAAGAACAGTGTGTACAATTTAATTGAAAACTAGTTGAGCTAAGCCTAGTTTGTCTGATCTTCCAACCTATGCCTAGGTAGGTTAGCATGCTTTTTGTAAGCCAGGACTCAGTTGTATTTTGTTACGTTTCTTCACAGAGCATGTCTTTAAGGGTCATTCATTTTAATTCATCACTTTCAGGAAAGGACAAATCATAATCTTTTCTGTGACCTTTTGCATCCACCACCCCCTACCCCCACAATAAACAGAGTACATACTGTAATAATAAAATGATGAATGTCATTTTGGTATCATCATGTCTAAATTTAAAAAAAAAAAGGTTTATACACTGTTGAGCCCTCCGCTACCATATGTGTTGTACTCTCATTAAAATGATGAAAAAAATTATAACCCCTAATATAACCCCCTGCATTTCCTAATGAAGATTGAGGAGTGAAAAACCAGTGGTGGATCCAGGTTGGGGCTGAGGTAAGAAAATGCATGATTATGGCACCTCTAGATGGCTGGAAATGGTACTCTCAGACTTAATTTTCAATATAATTTTCGTTTTTTTCTCCGTGAAAATGTTTTGGGCCCAGCTGCCTCCCCCTTGAAACAGTAAGTGCTTTACAGAGCAACATTAATATTTGCTTTGCCTGCTCTCTGATTTGATTGATTGATTATAGTTACCTGAGTACTTCTTTAAAGGCTGTAGCAGCAGACCGCTCTGTGCCAGTCCGTTGATAAAGTTTGGCGAGTGCTAGGTTGACTTTTGCACTTCTCTGCTTAGCTGGGATACTTTCAAGCTGAAACAAAAAAAATGCAAAATACAGTATTTAAAACTGTATAATCTAAACGCAATGACTAAATTATCTAATAACGAATCAAACTAAGGAATAAAATTAACAGATTACAGTCAATCATCGGGATATATTTGCTAAATCTTTTTTAAAATTTTTTCAATATAATTCAATTACCCTCAAAACTTGATTGATAGATTTTGTGATAATAGAATTATAAGAATTATCATAATAAAAATTGAAAACATAAGAAATGATAAGATGGAGACAAAAAGAACAAAGAATTGTAACCACAAATTCAGTTAAGGAACAAAGGTTAAAAGTTTATAACATAATTTAATTCAATTAATTTCAAAATTTGCATCGTTCTACAACTTGGTACAAGAGAATAACACATTAAAACTTGTGAAATGTAACTTTCAATTAAGTATTATGCCTTTTGTTACATTTGTGATTGTCACTGTAACTATTGAAATGTTTCTTCATAAAACAAATACCTACCACTGCCTTAGCTTCAGTGAAGTTCTTTAACTTATAATTGCACTGGTAGAGCCTGTACTTAATATCGAGGTCTGATGGTATACCAGCCTCACTCACATTGCCTGGCTGAGTGCTTTTTCCTTTGCATCTATTCAGTGACTTCTTCAGATGAAATGCTCTGCGATAGTATGACTTAAAGCAAAACGACATACACAAAAATGAACAACCAAGTTTATAATACGAAAATAATCTTTAAAAACTATATACTTTAGGTGGTTGGCATCACAGAACAAACAGGACTAAGAAATGACAAATAAAATTGTAATCATGGGTATAAAGTTCTAGGAAATTGTAGGCCTATTTTGAACTGTCCAATTATGGTCCAAGCAGTGTGCCCCGGAGGGGACATTTTTATCTGATTTTCTAAGACACAAAAACGATCTTGAGTTGAATGCCGAGCGGTTAAGGCAGGGTCTACAAGCCTACAGTCATAATATTGGCGCTGGTTCGAACGACACGCCCACCTATGACTCTAGCAGTGGATCAACTCTTCTGGGATAAGGACTATAAACCGTAGGCCCAGCGTACATAATTGGCTCATGTGCACTATAAAGAACCCAGTACATCTTTCGAGATAAATAGGGGGTTACCCCCGGTATACTGGTCCATCTCACAGCCCCTGCCCTCATCGAGTACGAAAATACACCAACAAGAGGTCTGTACTAAATGGAAGAAGGATGGTTAATGAGATACAGATTTTCAATACTTTAAAACTGGGGAAAAAAGTGTGGTTATACCCCTTTCCCCCAGTATTTTAATATTCAATAATCTTTATCTCATATAACTCAAGTTTTTTGTTAAACCCCAGTATTTTAACATTCAATAATCTTTATCTCATTAACTCAAGTTTTTTTGTTTTTTAACACCTCTTTTTTGTGTCTTATAAAAATTGAATTGTTTAGAGAGAGAGAAAGACGTTAAAATTAACACCGATAATGAAATCAGCTGACAAAATATATTATAATCACCTCCGAACGTTTATACTCTTCTTCTTCATATAATGCCCCAGCGTAATACACCAACACATGGTATTTTTCTGTCGGACTTAACAGTTCTGGATTCTGTTCAGAAGCAGTGATAACTAGATTTCCCTGTATTGTAATAAAATGAGAGTTTTTGATTTTACAATACAATTAAAATTGTTTTTTTTTTACACAAAATACTAAAAACATGTAAAGTATTTTAAAATTGAAAAAAGATGATGCATATTGGGCCACGGGAATGAAAGTTGTAGATTTGTGTCCACTGCCCGCATGCCTAAAAAGCTACCGCACGAAAATGTTCATTATTTTGAAAAGTTCATTATTTTGAAAAAAAATATACTTTGTTTTAAAAAACAGACTTTCTAAGTCGTAAACAGACAGAAAACGATCTATTCATCACTGATCACTCGTCGCGAACACCGAGCGAAGGCAGGACCTGGCCACATCGCACTATGATCGGCGATCACTGATGAGGTCATTTACGGATCAAATCGATCTTCCTGACCAATAGGAAATCTCGTATGTTTAAAGAGGTCTTAAATGTAGAAAAGGATCTGTTATATTATATAGGCTAGTGTACATTTATGACTGTAAGCATTGTTTCTTGGGAATAAATGTAAAATTACCAATACCGCAGCTTGTGGACAGCATTTATAAAAAAAAAAAATGAATAATGAAAAATGAAAAAATGCCTCATGTGTTTTCAAAATTTTTCGGACGCAAATCTACAACTTTCATTCTCGTGGCCTTATATATATGCTGACACTGGTTATAAATACATAAACCATCCAGACCTGTCCTTGGGACTAAGATTAAAACGGGGTAGGCATGGGGCGGGGGCTACAAAAAGTTGATTATTACTAACTTGGCCTATATTCTACATTATGCAACAAAGGACTCCTCCTACCTAGCCTAGCTAGGCCTACAGGCTGACCTACCTAACACAACAGTAACCTACCATACCTACCTTTCTTTCTTTCTTTATTGTATACGTACAAAAAAAATACATACAAATGGTACACAATAGGAGCTAACTTCCAGAGGGCTAACGCATATGTGATTTAGGCCTAGGCTAGAATTATTATTGTTCAGATTTGAGAAGCGTGGCTCTCGACGTCTATATAGTCTTCCTCTTTCTGCAGCGTCCGTCCATTCGTTGAGCCTAGGAAAAATATCCTTAAATTATCTTATTGCTTATGTTTATTTTTTAAAGGTTTTAAGGTACTTACTAACGTCGATAAACTGTTGAATAACTCTGCTTGATTTAAACATCGAATTTGCTCTATGATACTCATTTTTGTCCGTAGAATTGTAAATTTTAAGTGTCGCGCGGCAGACTTTCATTAGGCACTTTTTCCGTGTACTTAAATTCCGATTTGGAAAGTCTGCGATTGTCTGTAGTTGAACCATGGTGGTTAAACTGAAACGCGTTTATTCCAGGGGTGACACTCCATGAAAGAGGATAGGATCATGAAGGCGTTCATTGTACCCTTCCAAATTACCAAAGGTTCACATTTTCCAGGGTAGAAACCCAAAACTCAAAACTCACTCGTGCACACTCCAGAAATCGATCTACCAAACCTCCTTGACCAATTAGTGCAGCTTCTAGGACCGCATTTCTACAAGCATTATGTTGGCCTTTTGTTAAAACTTTAAATTTTAGTGTTTTCCCCGCCGCTAACATCTCCCTGTTCTAGGTCTCAATAAAATCATCTTTTTTTTCTCGTTTGGAAATCATCCTGCCTGATACAGCATGCGACGTGGATTTGATTTAGGTCAGAGCAAGGAATATTTAATACACAAAGAAGATTATATTCGAAAGTCGGGGGAGAGTGCCATTTCGGCCAGTTACAGGTGCCATAATCATAACTTAGGTGTTATGATTATAGAACCCCCAATCTATGAAAGTCCTTCCTTGGTCCCTCTATTTCGAATTCCTGGATCCGCCACCGACAGTGGCGGATTCAATGGCCAGCCGGTTCGCCCCTTTGCCCCTATTTTTTTTCTATTATTATTATTATTATTATTGTTATTATTATTATTGTTATTATTATTATTATGTTGTAATGATGTTGTTTGTACAGTTCTTTAATTTTATTAAAGAGGGCCCCTGAATATCAGTTAACCTACTGGGCTAAACTACAAGGGTTACCGTCTTTAAAGATGGTTGAAATAAGAAATTTAAAAAAAATAAATACCCACTCTGAACCAAGACCCCTGTTACTGGGCTAAACTACAAGGGTCACCCTCTTTAAAGATGGTTGAAATAAAAAATTAAAAAAATAAATACCCACTCTGACCCAAGACCCCTGTTACGCGCCTGGTGTTAGCGCCAATGTGTGCCCTTGTGCGGACAGGAGATGTGCCCCCCCCCCCTTTGAAGCTGGAAACCTTGTTTTTGCAAAATAAATTGATGCAATTTGCTATTATAGGCCTAATAAATAAATTCCTCATCAACCGATAAAACCTTAGCATTCTTGGAATTGACATAACATTCACTGATGTCGTACACACCCTTCAGTGTGAAATGTGGCTCTCTTTGCAAGCACATCTAATATCTAAGGAAAGAAGAGCTTAGATTGGTACCAGATAAAATAATTTTGTTATCAACATTAATACATTATGCTAATTTTCATCTTTGTAAGCCCATAAGACAGTGCAAGTTATTTCTGTGACAGTCTTTTGAAGTGTGTAAAAGCTCCATTTTATCCCATACATAGTCAAAATATTGGGGGGATGACACAATGGACCATCCCCCACTCTTGTCAAATATTGGGGGGGATATATCCCCCATCCCCCCGGGATCTACGCCTATGCTCGTGATCGGGGGGGGGGGCGGTCTGTAACCACTCCATCGGAATCCACTGGTGCCACCCCTGATTCCGTAAAATGCATTTTCCCTTGATTCTTAAAATGGGGATCGATAAGCTCACTGTGTGTGTTACCCTGCATAAACAATTTAATATGGGATTCAAATTAGTGGGGAATATTATGCTGGAGTGGCCCGAAGTGGGCGTGGTCGGGTGTCGCTCAAAATGTCTTGAAAGTGGTCCAGGGTGGGGGGGGGGAGAGCTCCCGAAGTATAACAAAATTTAGGGGTTTCAGAAGCTTATATATAATCGGTTTTATAGATAAGGAAATATATATCATTATTTTTTCTCCCCAACGAATTGTGGATTTCTTCTTTTTGTTTGATGGAAAAAACTGGGTGGGGGAAGAAAATTATCTGGGAGGAAAATTCGCCTGTGTTTAGAGAGGCCGAGAGGGCGCTGTTTATGTTTAAAATTATCCCAGGTAAATTCCCAGGTTTCTGCTAATGTGGTGTTCTCGTTTTTGAAGCATTTTAAGGTATTGTAATATTAAACTGATGTTTTCTTCAACTGCATACTTTGCGGTCATCCTATGGTACAAAGAACTAAATTCCTATTCTCTAGCTACCTAGGCTACTAGGCCCTAGGCTACTACTATCTAACTACTACAGGCCTAGACCCAAGCTATGACTATGTTAGGTAGGCCTACCACTAGAACAGAGTTGCAGAGCAGGAAGGTCGCCGCCCCGGTGAGCCGCACATAGCACCAACTTCCTTGGGATTTTTGTAATCCTAGGCCTAAGAAATTATAGACTTATACAATATTGATTGAATGTTTTTAGGAAAAATATTTTGCCTTTTTTTAGGTAGTATAGGCCTGGCAGTGGTAGTACTTTATTTTGAGCTTGATCAACTTGCTTAGGCCTAGGCCTATGCCATTTTAAATTTTCATTGATGATAACACCTAAGTGTTTAGTAACCATGGGTTATAGGCCTAGTTGATGCTTTAAATTTATATGATTAGGAAGAAATATACATCTTGTTTTTTGAGATTATAAAAAGAAAGAAAAATTTTACTTTTTTGTAAAATTTCCATTTTTTTGTGGCAACGGGTGTGCTAATTGGCAAAAAATAAAAATTCATTTATTTGAAATCATTATTTGCGGGCAGTTTCGCTAAACAAGCTGCAGTATAAAAAAGTCCCCTTTATTTATGTTAAGGGATGACCCATAATTATTAATATGGCCATAATAATTATGATATTGTGACCCCCTGACAAAGAAAAGTAAAATTAAAATCAATCAAATTGTCTTAAATTGTTGAAGAAGAGGTACCTCCTATAAGAGAAATAGTAATTTATTATTATTATTATTATTATTATTATTATTATTATTATTATTATTATTATTATTATTATTAATATTGTTATTTGATATTCTGTTATTGTTAAATGTTATAGTTAACTACTACTATAATTGAAAAATCTCTGGTATTTATTTAGGTGACAGTGAAAAAATGATTTTTGATTGGATAGCTCTCGGTTCAGGTGCGTTCACATCAGCAGTCCTGTACTATGTTTATCGGAAGAAGACCACAGATATACAACGTATACATGTGAGAAATACATTTCACTGTCAATAATATTAGGCCATATTTAATATGATAAAGAAATATTAAATGTTTTTTATAATTAAACAAGATTTTTTTTATCAATTCATTTGAAAAATATAGACAAATACAGTGCTTTCGTCTACCTTCATTTATTACCTTCTCCAAGGAGGTTATGTATTCACTGCAGTCTGTTAGCAAGATGATGCAAAAACTAATAAATTGATCATACAATTTAGTGGAATGGTGCATAGTAATTTAAAAAGATACCATTCAATTTTTGGTAGAAAAGGTCAAATGACAAGGTCAGGGTCTCAAAGATTATATTTTTTACCCTCGACCATAAAAGAAAATAATGGAATTGACCCTTGTATTCAGGCAGCACTCAAGAAAACCATTATTTTCTCCATGAGAAAACAATGTACCTGAATATGATGGGCGATTTCATTATTTTCTTAAGGGTATTCTGCAGCACTAAAGAAAATAAAATGCCTGATTATGACTGGCAATTCCATTATTTTATTAAGGGATGCTGCAGTCTTTGGAAAGGGTTAATATGCACTGTATGGAGTGACTGCTCTAGTTATATATAAATTGATTTAATTCATTAACGCTTGTGTGATTAATTTTGATTTCCAACAGGATGCTCCAATGCTGACCATTGATAAGGACTTAAGTATGCTAGTAGAGGAGGCACCTGACAAGACAATACCCTATGCAGTAATAGAAGGTGCTGCAACGCCTGTCAAGGGTGTCATACATAGTCAGAATATTGCAGGTATTACAGGCCTAATACAAAGCCTTATCCTTAAGGAACACAAGACGGAATGGAGCAAGTCCACAAGAATGTGGTCAGTTGTTAAGTATTTGTATTATTTTTTTTTAAAGTAGATTTATTCCAGACTCGGTACTCATTACCATTACACCATCAACAGTATCACCTTCGAATCTTGTTTTGGGCAAAAAAAATATTGCAACCTTAAAATATTTTTGTTCGAATCCAATTGGGCACAGTTTGCTATAATGTTTATAATGATTATATCATTAACACTAACATTATATGATGACATCACATCATGACCATAATAATATAGGTGTATCATGACTACATATGGGCATACAACAGTTTTTTTGTCAAAGAAAATTTGATAATCTAAACTGAGCTTTACATTATAAGTGAGTACAACCAGTATTTATATTTTGTTGATTGTTTTCTTTGCAGGATTGATTCAGCAAGTACCATCAAACACAACACAAAAAGCGTCCCTTTTAGATTGTCCGCAAAAGAGAGTCATGTGACAGTGGATGAAGCCCTTGTTGCAACAGGTTTAACGCTTGATGTGATCCACGACAAATTTGAACCAATCAGAAGTTCATTAGGTGACAATCTTGTGAACTGGGCTACAGGTGAAAAAATAAAGGGATACCAAGAATTGGAGGAAATGTTACCGGTTGACAGTTTTATCACAGGTATTGGTGAGATCAAGATGATTGGTGGACAGGTACATTTGGTTCCCCCATGCAGCGGTTGGACCTATTACCTCTGGAGGGGCTCAAAGGCTGAACTGTTAAGGGATCTAAGATCTAACACCAGAGTATGGAGAATAGTTTTAATGTTTTTTGGCTCAGCGACTCTCTTATGGTGTCTGTATCTACTTAGCAAGTGGTATAAGAAATACCAAGAGGAACAGAATTACAGAGAGTATCTTGCAAGGGTACGACAAGCAGCTGGAAACGGTGAAGAAACTGAAGTAGATGTATGCGCCGTGTGTTTAGAGAATCCACGGGATTGCGTTATCTTAAACTGTGGACATGTATGTGCGTGTCAACGATGCACTGATGTACTGAATCCCCCACAATGCCCTATATGTCGAGAGCGCATCAGTAGAGTTGTTCCTCTGTTTCACGCATAGAATTTTCCTTTAAGAAAAATTTCTTTGTAGAAAACAAACTGGTTGTTGCTTAGGACATGCTTCATGTTACAACTCGCTGTGTTTAATTATTGATTTTTATGTTTATTTTTGTCAACAATTTGTATTTCAACAGACATTTGACTGATCAGCAGTTAGCACAATTTTCCAAAAGATCATGATGCTCACATCCAGTATTTTCATTATCATGTAGAAAAGTGAATTCTTCATTAGTTATAAACTTCAGATTTCTTCTAATTACTGTATGCTCAATTCATTTGTATTATTTCGATTATAAAATAGGTGTTTTGCAGTAGATTATTTTATGGGAGATCTTATAATTATTTTAGGCCATATATTCATCATTCAGTATTTATTGTCATTGTATAACATTAGAAATACAGTAAAATTGAATACATTAAATGTATAAGACGTTTACAATACAAATAATTGTAAAGTATCTTGCTGATTACCTGTACTTTTTTAATTTGTTGTATACTTTTCTGGGGTAAAACCTGAAAAATCACAAAAATGAAATAGTCTTTCTTCTTCCTTGGTACAACTCAACACAAGCCTCTGGCCCAAATAGCACACAACACATAACAACATTACAGTGCCGAGTACAGGATGGATTAGGCAACTTCATCAACCCGATTATTTTTAAGGAAGTCTATTCAAATTCTAAAATATATTTCTATGTACAGCCCATTCAGTTGATCTAAATTACATCTGCTTGTGTATGAACAATTACAGCAACCTGGCAACTACAAGGGAAGAAAATATATTTTTTAAACTGCATAGGCAATTATGACTTATATAGAGCCCTTATCAGGAGTCAAGCTACTTCCAGATCTTAATTTATTAGTGGAAGAGAAAAACTGAACAGTGAAAACACCAGAGGCAGTGCAAATGTACAGGCATTTGTTGTCTCCATCTTCTTTTTTTGTTGTTAGTGGTTACAAGTATGCAACACAGACTAGAAGAAATAAACATTCCTGAAGATATTTTTATGTTTATAATAATGCTTTATTATAGGCACATACATTTTTACTATTTTGTTAGCAACTCTTCAAGAATATTTTACTATAATTTATTCGTCTCAAAAACATATCTTAAATATACTGTAGACTCGCTGCTTCAGTAAATTTACATACATTTTATGCACAAACTAATTTTTAAGTTACTGTAGTTCCTAATATACTCTACATTGCATTGATAAAGCATCAACTTAAGTTATAGCAAAAATGGAATATATAAAGTTGTAATGCACATTTATCCCTTTTTTGCAGCTTCGTGGGTAGGGCAACTGCAACAGTAATGCATCAAGAAAGGCATTACTGTACATACTTTACATGTTAAAAGAGAACTAGCAAAATGATTTTTTGTTCTAGAGTGGATTTTTGATTTGCCATTAATAATAGAATCAACCTTAAAATCGTTCTTTGGCTATTTTTTTATGAAGTTATAGGCGATTATATACGATTTTATCATGACGTCACTGGCGAAAAGGCAACAAAAGATCGTGTAAATAGCGCCGCGTAGGGTATCCACCGCGTACGATCTTTGCGTG